GCGCTCCAGAGGCTCTTGGAGAGATCCCCACCAAGGGATAGAACCACACAGCCACACCAGGGGCTGTCCCACTCCACCCCAAACAGGCAGATGGAGCAGCCCCATGGCATCCTGCTGCATGCCCTCATACTGACAGAAATCCTGCTGTCAACCCTCAGCTGGGCCTGGAAAATGCCACCAGGCTGGGACTCCCTGCCTGGGGGTACTGGGGCAGCACCCTCAGGGGCACACATGGGCTGCAGGGGCAGACAACAGCTGGTACACAGCAAGACCACACCTCAACACCATCCCACAAATGTGCCATCCCCTTCCTGGTCCCACAGGGCACAGCCAGCCAGGCATCTGCCAGTGCCACCACCACAAGCCTGGAAGGAACCTCTGTGTGCCAGGCACTGCCATCCCAGCCTGGGCCAGGACAAGCCCAGACTCCCATAGCCCCAAGGCCAATGCTGCTCCCCCACCACTCTGCCTCGAGCACTCCCAGGAGCTCCAGTGTCTCCCTGGAACCGCTGCTGGACACACATCTGTGGCACAGCCAGCACTTAGAGAAACCATTAAAATGCAAAGGCAGGTTTGCCTTGCTGACTGGGAAGAGGGAGAGCAGATGGCCCCTACCACACTCTGATGCCCAAGCCAGGATGGCTGGTCAGGACTGTGCTGAGTGACAGGGAGAGGAGGCAGAGGTGCAGCAGAAGCTGCAAATCCACTGGCCCTCACCTGCTCCCCTTTGTACCCCAGAAGCAGAGAACAGAGCAAAGACTCCATTCATCTCCCACACTGCCCAGCTGGGAGAGCAGGGACAGGGCCCAGGGCACCCAGGGGTGTCCCTGCTCAGAGGTGACTGGTCTGCACATGGAGCAAAGGGACAGGCAGGCTCTCCTGGACACCCTAACCATGGGCAGGGAGCACAGCAGAGCAGGAAGGACAAGCACTGCTCACCCCCACTGCCAGCCAGGGCTCCTGCCTGGGCACCCATCACAGCACCACGAGGAGAATATCAGCCCACAACCAAGGATCATCAAGCCCAGCTCCTGGTTCTGCACAGCCCCAGGGCTGTCCCCTTCCGAGCTCTGTGTGCAGGGCATGGCTGTCCTGGCCTCTGCTGGGGATGTCCAGGGGAACATGATAAAGTAGCACCCCCCAAAACCCTCCCACCTGTGCAGCTTTGGCTAACAACAGGGTATTGTTCAGCCTGTCTCCACTCCAGTCACTCCATCTTCCGGCCAGCCCAAACGCTCTGCTCCAGCGCTGCCACGGAGCTGGTCCCTGGGGCTCGGATGTCCCCCCAGAAGACACTCCCTCCCTCACACAGGTGGCTTTGCTTCCCCGACATGCCCTCCCTCGCCTCCTCGCTGCCCTTCACAGGCAGCTGGTCCCAGCGTCCCAAGTCCTTCGGGATCCCGGCTGAGGCTCTCCCGTCCCATGCAGGGTGGCAGTGTCCCCAGCAGTGTCCCCGGTGGCTGGGGGTGGCTCCTACCTGCAGCACGGAGAGGCTGGTCTGCCCCGAGAGGCTGAGCTTCTCCTGCTCCGACGGGTAGGCGTTGAAGCGGTGCTCGTACAGCCAGTCCCGCAGGATCTTCACGGACTCCTTGGGGAGGTTGCCCCTTCTCTTCCTCTTGGACTGCGAGGGGTCGGGGGATGTGGCGCCGTCCTCCTCCCCCGGGTCACTGTCCGACATGGTGGAGCTGCCCGCGGGTCCCTCCTGCCCGGAGCCTGGCGAGGGGGAAGCACAGGGAGCGTCAGGGGGGGTCG